CAAAAGTTAGTTAATGAAATATAAACATATTATAAAAAAAATAAAAATAAACCAATACAAAAAGACAACAAAAAAATTTAAAAAATACATATGAGAAAACAGGAAAAAAAAAAAGGAGGAAAGAAAAGATGAAGAAGTGGAGAGAAAAAAGAGAGGAAAGAAAAGGAAATAGAAGGAAATGAGAAAGAAAAGGGAAGAGAGAAAAGAAGAGAGGAAATGACAAAGAAAAGGAAGTAGAAAAAAAAAAGTAAGAAAAAGAAGGAGACAAGAGGAAGAAAGGAAAAGAAAGAGAGGAAGAACGGAAAAGAAAGAGAGGTAGAAGAGAAAATGAGGAAAAGGAAGAGAAGTGGTGATATATATAAGGCTTCTACGGACCGAAAACGGTTCGTATAATCCTTATTGGCACACCTCACCAAAAAATTGAAATTTTTTTGAGAAAATTTTTGGCGCATTAATAATAATCGGATCGAAATTAGTCCGAATATAAATGAATTAGCGCACAATCAGAAAAATTCAAATTTATGGTAAAAATTTGACGCATAAATTCATTACGGACCGATTTCGGTCTGTATATGTATTAAGCCTACAAGGGATCACATTAACATATTCGGACCAATTTTGGTCTGAATATGTTGGGAAAAAATCCACAGGGCACATTTTTATTCTTTTCATTTAAGGACATCACCATTTTCTCGTGTCTTCAATCCATTCCTGCGAAAACTAATTGCATGTACTTCGACCTACAATCCCTTAGAACCACGAAAGCATCGATTGTCTACCTAAAATTATCTTACAATGGTACGGAATAATATCGTTGCAAAACCACGAATGTATAAGTTTCAGGTTATTAGAAATAATGTTACATAATGCTCTTTCGGAGTCACAAGCAAATAAAATTCATTTTTTTTTCTTAAGGTTAACCACTTTGGCTTACAAACATTCGGAATGTTACGGTTTAAAACGAGAGTAGAACAATTTAAACACGAAATAACAAAAAAATAAAAAGTTGCTGTTCAGGTGTACATCCAGACCGATACCGATCCGTATAACGTTATATAGACCGGTATCGGTCTGAATATAGGCACTAGAGGGAATTTTAATCCTAAAGCTAAATGAAATTAGGTATGAATATATATACGGACCGGTTTTGGTCTGAATATATGCAAAGAATCCAGAAGCTTCCATGCTTTTCATTTTTCAGACCGATTTTGGTCCGAATATACTAGAAAAAATCCAAAAACTTCTCCCAGTGCACATTTTTAGTCTTTTCATTTAAGGACATCACCATCCACTCGTGTCCTAAATCCATTCCTACGAAAACCAATTGCATTTATGTCGACCACACAGTCCCTTGGAACCACCAAACCATCGATTGTCTACCTGAAATTATCTTACGATGGTACGTAGTAATATTGTTGCAAAACCACGAACGTATAGGTTGAAAGTTATTAGAGATAATGTTACGTAATATTCTTTCGGAGTCACAAACAAATAAAATTCATTTTTTTTCTTAAGGTTAACCACTTTGGCTTGCAAACATTTGGAATGTTACGGTTTAAAACGAGAGTAGAACGACTTAAGCACGAAATAACAAAAAAAATAAAATAAAAAGCTGCTGTTCAAGTGTATATGCAGATCGATACCGGTCGGTATAGGTATATATGGACCGGTATCGGTCCGAATATAAGCACTCCGAGAGATTTTTAATCCTAAACTAAATTAAATTAAGTATGAATATATATACGGATCAGTTTTGGTATGAATATATGCAAAGAATCCAGAAGCTTCCATGCTTTTCATTTTTAGACTAATTTTGGTCCGAATATACTAGAAAAAATCCAGAAACTTCTCCCAGTGCACATTTTTATTCTTTTCATTTAAGGACATTACCATCTTCTCGTGTCCTAAATCCATTCTTACGAAAACCAATTGCATGTACATGGATCCTATAGTCCCTTGGAACCACAAAACTATCGATTGTCTACCTGAAATTATCTTACGATGATACGAAGTAATATCGTTGCAAAATCACAAACGTATAAGTTGAAAGTTATTAGAAATAATGTTACGTAATGCTCTTTCGAAGCCACAAGCAAATAAAATTAATTTTTTTTGTTAAGGTTAACCACTTTGGCATGCAAACATTCGGAATGTTACGGTTTAAAACGAAAGTAAAACGACTTAAGAACAAAATAACAAAAAAAATAAAAAGCTGCTATTCAGGTGTATATACGGACCGATATCGGTCCGAATATAGGCATTTCAAGGTTTTTTAATCCTAAAGCTAAATTAAATTAGGTATGAATATATATACTTAATGAAAATTATACTTATTTGGTAAGTATAAAACATATAAAATTAAATAAAAATATAATATTGGTAATTATAATTATAAATAAAAAAATAAAATATAAATATATATAAACTACAACTATAGAAATAATGTAATTTACAA